AGTAACAGAGGACAGTTAACTCAACTAGGTCAGGGTGTGAAGGAAAAGCCTGGGGGACTTGCTCTGGGCAGGGCAGCTCTCGGGAAGCTGAGTGCCCTCCAGTCTGAAGGCACTAAGGAATAAGGCCTCCCTCGGCCTTAAAGGGGCCCGGGTCTGGGGGAGGTGGCTTCTGCACAGACCTGGGACTGGGTCATGCTGGGTCGATTTTGTGTTTTCCTCTTAGGTTGGTTCTAAATGGGACTCTTCAGGCCAGGACGACCTGTGGATTTGTGTTTGACTCAGGGCTGTGAAGAACAAGATGCAGGGGAAGCCATGGGGGAGCTGTTGAAGCTGAGGAAGGAACATGGCAATACTGTGAGGAAGGCGAAGAGTGAGTTCTGGGCGCGGGGGTGGGGTGGAGGCTACTCTCTGGCCGTAGGGAGGCAGAAAGGATGGGTCTGGTCCATGTGAAAAACTGGACTGAGCTGGAGGGCTTTGGGGAGCAGCTCCCCTTGTTGGAAAGGCTTGAGGCATGATATGGATGTGTCTACTGGGCAGATGGAAAGCCTGGAATTGGGAGGACCCAGGACCCAAGGCCCTGCAGATTAGGGATCAGCCATTGGAATGAACGTGGGGGAAAAGCTTAAACTTTTCCAGCTCAGAGAGAGGCAACAGCAGTGCTTTGGCTTCTAGAAACTTCCTATGCTCGCTCGCCCTGCTTTGAGGACATCAGTCAGACTAGGTGTGAGTGTGCATGTGATAAGGCAGGGGGGTAGCCGCGGACTCTGCGAATTCAGGATTTGCCAGGGAGCTGGGAGCAGCGGTCTGTCCAGAGGGAGGCATGAGGTCCCTAAGGCACGGCGTCTTCTCTGAAGGTCTGGCTGGAGAGAGCTGAGTTCACTGTTGGGAAGAGCCTCGATCCAGAGGTCAAGAACTCTGGGCTCTGGCATGGACCAGTCATGTGTCCCTGGGCAGGCCACTCGGCTCCTGTGCCCCTTTAAGACTGGGTGTATGCCCAGGCCTAAGTCAGACTGGAGGTCACCCAGCTCTCTGCAGCCGCCTCGCCCTAGAATGAGTCCCCTGGGCATCTCCTTCCACATTCTGACCTAGTTGCCCTTAGCACACTCTCCACACCACAGCGCTTCAGAGTGAGCTGTGTGGCCTCCCTTTTACAGACAAGGACCCAAGCCTCAGCAGACGAGCCCGCCCCGAGACGGCACAGAGACAAGGAGGCAGAGGCAGGATTTGAACCCAGGTGGCTGCCTAGTCTCAGGCTTGAGGGTCTTGAGCTTCCTTACTAGGCAGCTACATGATACCCTGGAGCATGGGCTTTGGCTTCTTTCTTTCCTCACTAGAGCTGCTAAACCATAGCTGGTTATTTACGCTTCAGCTTTTCTATGCACGCAGAGTCTGTGACGCCATCTTAAAAAGTTTAATGTGGCCCTCCCTGGTGGTGCAGCAGGTTAAAGCGTAGCACTGCAAGCTGGCTGCAGCCGCTTCAGTGTGAGTTCCATCCCTGGCCTGGAGCTGACCCACAAGGTGCAGCAGACCTCTCCTGACCAGCCTGCTGCTCCCCTCAGCAGTGTATTTCATCCATTTGCCTGTTCTGCTTCCCACTCTGTCTCTGGTGAAGCCTCTCACCACCCCTGCACTTCTGGCCTGTACCCCAGTTCTGTATGCACAAATAAGTAAATCTTAAAAAAAAAAAAAGTTGAATGCATCTGAGCAGAGTAATTTAGGGGGACGTTCTCCAGGTCTTGAGCTGTGCAGACCTCATGGCACCTCCCGGATCTCACACCAAGTTCGCGCTACCTCAGGCGGTGTCAGAAGTGTCCCGGCAGCCAGGGCCAGCACTCGGCCACAGCCCTGCTTCCTGTGGGGAGCAGGTGATGGCAACACCAGGAGGTGCACAGATCACACAGGGGGATGTGAGGGGGCAGGCCAGGTCACTGCCCTAGCAATGCTCTCTGCCTCCAGCTGGGGTGTCAGGTCCCAGGGCAACTCATGAGGGGTGGGGGTGCGGCAGAGTTCATCCAGGCCAGCTCCCTGCCTCTGGCGGCTACCTTCAAATCATCCCAAAGGGATTCTTCCTATATATATATACATATATATATATATATGTATGTGTATATATGTATGCATGTGTATATGTATGTATACACACATATATACACACACACATATATACATACACACATGTATATATATATGTATATGTAAACAGAAAGTTTATTAGAAAATGACAGGAGAGAAAAGACATTTGCATAGTCACAAGTGGGCAGGAAGAGCTGCCCCGGAAGGGACAGGTTTGCAGAGAGAGACCTGCATAGTTTCAGGCAGGTGGTCTTAGGAGAGCGGCCTCCCCTGAGGGAGGTCAGTGCAGAGAAGTCCTGGCATGGTACAGGTCACAGGCAGGCAGGAGGCTGCTTCCCTGAAGAGGGAGAGAGGGTGGGAAGAAGCACCTGCCTAGGCACAGGTGGGCACAGGAGCGGCTGCCCCAAAGGGATTCTTAAGGCAAAGCCAAGGCCCCTCTTCAGGCTGCATTCTGAGTTCAAGACACCTTGAGCATGAGATGAAGCTGGGCGAGGCCATTGTTGGACCTAGGAGACTGGCCCGACACCCGGAGTACATGTTCAGAAACATGACTTGGCCTTTCTCGCTCCCTGGCTTTCTGGCCACCTGCTCATGTTGGGGGCATGTCCCCCCCAAGGCAGAAAGGTGGTGGCCGCAAAGAGGACAAAAAAATCACAGGGGTCGTCAGCTCTAGGTTCCAGAGTGGAAGGTGCACGCTGTGGTGCAGACAGACTCGGCAAAGGTCAGACAATGCCAAGCAGAGCGGGTTGTCTTCACCAACAATGCCCAGTCTTGAGAGAATCTGGAATAGAGGACTATGCCATGCTGGCCAAGATGGTGTCTGCCACCACAGAGGCAAGGATGCTGAAGAGTCCCAGCGCATGGGACATGGCAGAGCAGGGACCGTCATCGATGGCCGGCTGAGCATGATGTCATTAGAAGCATGCCCCGCAGGACCCGCGAAAAGTAAATCCTGCAACATTTTTCTTTGATAAAACAAACAAGCATGCCCTTCCTGGTGGCGCAGGGGGTTAAAGCCCAACACTAAGAAGCTAAAGCCACTTCAGCATGAGTTCGATTCCCGCCTGCCCCAGAGGTGACCCACATGGTGCGGCAGACCTCTCCTGACCCGCCCGCTGCTCCCCTCAGCAGTGTACTTCATCAGCCGGCCTGTTCTGCTCCCCACTCTGTCTCTGGTGAATCCTCTCACCGCCCCCGCACCTCTGGCCTGTACCCCAGCTCTGTATGCACAAATAAACAAATCTTAAAAAGAACAAAAACAAACAAGCACATCGAAAGAAACACAGCTCAGCGCGGGCAGTACAAGACTTACAGGTTTGCACAGTGCCAGGAGAGGCCCTCACATCAGCACTGCGGGCACTGAGCAGCTGGAACAAGCAGGTTTTCCTATGCAGCGATGCGTCAAAAACATCGACAGACCTCCTCCCTCTTCTTAAATCGCTCCAGTGTCTCCATGTTTCAAAAACACAAAAATGTTGCTTACCCCGTCACTCCCTTTAGCTGACAAGTTCCCTTTCCCTGCAGCCTTTTACTGAAAGGCTAAGACTCGTCCACACTCAGACCTTCTCCGCCGAGGTCACTGTGCTTACACGCCCTCGCCCTGTCCTGGGGTGGCGGGCGGGACGGGAAGGGACAGCATGTGTGATGTGGCCCCCTGCCCTCAAGGAGCACCGAGGCTGATGCTTCTCATCCTCTCCTGGAGGCTTCTCTGACTCATGCCCCCCTGATTTGCTTCCTGGCCACCCCTTTGCCTCCTCGTGGGCTCCTGGTCTCCCCTCCCTCTACACTCTCTTTCTACATGACCCTTTTGGGTCTCAATCTTGCCTATGAGGCAGCCAGCAAAGCCTCACATACTACTCAATGCCGTCTCCACACTGACCGCTTCCGGACCTTCGGATATTTCTACCCGAACAACCTTAGGACAGCTCCCCATGGGTAGCCAACAGGCCCCCAAACCCAAGAACCTGACTCCTGGTTTTCCTCTCCACTGTATCTGCTTCTCTTCCAGCTTCCCCCTTCCAGAAAGCGGGGTCACCAGGCTGATAAGGAGGACTCCTCCCTTCTCCACAGGGCGCGACAGTGGGTCCCTTTGGGTCTGCTCAGAGATTTAACTGCAACGCATTTACCAGGCATCTCCCTCTTCGCTCATGACTGTGTCCTGAGCCACCAACCTCCCACTGGGTGACACTAGCAGTCTCCAAAGATTCCGCAGCTGCCACATTTGCTCTTTTAGTTCAACCCCTTTAGGGCGCAGGGAACAGCCAGGGCGACCTTCTACAGCGGGCTGAATTATCTTGTGGTGCAAGTACCCCACTGAGTTCTTAGTCCTCAACAGTGTCTTGCTCATTCCACTTTGTTTCTTTCTCAGGTGAAATTTTGAAGGAGGCCCTCCCTGGTGGCGCAGCGGGTTAAAGCACAGCACTGAGAAGCTAAAAGCCACTTCTGCCTGAGTTCGATCCCCGCCTGCCCCAGAGGTGACCACATGGCGCGGCAGACCTCTCCTGACCCGCCCACTGCTCCCCTCAGCAGTGTACTTCGTCGATCTGCCTGTTCTGCTCCCCACTCTGTCTCTGGTGAAGCCTCTCGCCGCCCCTGAGCCTCTGGCCTGTACCCCAGTTCTGTATGCACAAATAAATAAATCTTTATAAAAAAAAGAAAATTTGAAGGAAAACCTTACCCAGTAAATACTTTGCCGGTAACCAGTCTGGTGGGCCTCCCCTCTCAGGGCAGCATCCTACCTTAGCAATGGCTTAAGCCTTAAGTTAACAACAACTTCCCCTACGGGGAGCAGTTATTTCCCTGCCTGTCAAGAAATAAAAACCTGACCTCAGAGAGGGGAGGCAGCGAGCGGGCCCGCCTGGCCAAGGTCGGAGCCTCCGTCAGGGCTCCAGCCCTGTTCCCGCGCACCTGGCCGAGCCCCGTCTTACCTCCCTGAGGCAGGTGTAGATGGGACAGACCAGCACACGGAAGGGCTCGCCCGTGCTGCTACGCATGGCGCCGAACACCTCGCACAGGAAGGTGATGAAGCCCAGCCAGCGCTCCACGTCCTGCTGCTGCAGCTCCTCCCGCACCGTGAAGTCCTTCTGCGGGGGCACAAGACACACAGTCAGGCTGGCCGTGGCGGGGACGGGCCGGGCACCCCCGTTCTGCAATGGTACCCCTGTCTAAGGGTGGTCCTGGGTGTTCTCAGTGAGGCGGGGAGAGGGCGGGTGACCGTGGCTGAAGCATGGATGCAGAGGCCTCCACAGGGTCACCCGGATCGGGGCCCTGTACCTTCTTTCCCGTGTCCCCAGATGGGGGCCCCCAGACTGGCCTCACTGACCCCGATACTGAGGTGGATGGATGAGGTGAAGATGGCGCCTCTCCCAGTGCCCCCATTCCACTCTCTGTGGATAAAGGATCCTCGTCCCCTAGCCCCCAAATGTTGGCCTCATGACTCCCGAACACTGGCCCACACAGTAATTGGTGGCTGAGTTCCATGTTGGTTCCAGTACCAGGTGGGAGACAGTTACTAGACAGGGCTGCAAGGATGCAAGGAATTAGCGGACAGGAAAATGAGAGGCACTCGTTCATTCATTCATTCATTCATTCGTCTCCCTTACTGTCCCCCTGTGTGCCAGGCACTGCACTGTTGGCCAGGATCAGGCATGTCCCTGCAAAGCTCTGTTACAAGAGAGACGAGAGTAAAAGCCATCCGAGTCCCCAGGTAAAGGGACTCGGACTCAGAGGTAGGTGTTATTACTTTCACCTGGAAATCAGAGCCTGGGGAGAGTTAGGACTGGGCTGTGGGGGTCTGGGGTGGGGGTTGGGGGTGTTTCAGGTGGAGAGAAGACAACTTAGGTGTTGGCACAGGCAGGATACCTGGAAAACAGGCAGGTATAGCCCAGTACAGGTGTTGAAAGAGGCAAACAGGAGGCTGGAAAATGAGAGTGTGGCTAGTGCGTTGAAACCCGTCGAGAAACTGGAGACCATGGGACAGGAAGTGCGGGGTCATAGACCTGGAAAACTCAAAGGCGGGTCCAGGATTCTGGGTCCGGGTGACATGCCACCAAAAGAAGGGGAAGTCAGGGCACTGTCAGGTCATCCCATAGTCCCATACTTCTCCCACTGCTGACTTTTGCTGGGCATTTTCCTCCAGGCCAGAATCTCCGAATCTCTAGCGATACCTTGGTTAAAATCTGTCCCTGTGTGTGCTCAAAGTGCTATCCAGCAATCTAAAAGGACCGAGGGGTTCTCAGCTTCTTCAGCTTCCAGATTAAGGGTTGGATGAGAAGACCCCCAAGAGAAGTCGCTTCAGTTTCAGCTTCTGATGTGCGTGAGGAGTTACTGCTTGTAACTCCTTGTTACTATGCCAGACTCTGAGCCAAGCACTTAGTCGGAATACTTAATTGTCACTTGAGTGTATGAGGCAGGTCCCACAACTGGCCCATTTTATAAGTCTTCAACTGTAGTTAGGAAGTCACCCACGTGTCCACGGCTATGTGGCAACAGCAGGGCTGGGATCTGAACCTGGGTCTGCCTGCTTGGAGACCACACTCCCCTTACCCCTCCTTTGGTCAAGAACCCCAACACTAGCCTTTATTAAGTGCCAAGTCAGGAGTTAAAATGGTGCTCGTCTCTCAATGGCCATCTCCCCTAAAAATATCTGGGAAGGCAAACATAGACTAATAAAGTTCCATGACAGCACTGAGAAGGGAGGTAACAGTTCACTAGCACACTCCTCGCCATTCACCAAAATGTTGTTGAAGCTCCAGTTCCCAGAGCAGCTACACCCCTACCGACTAGATGGGTAAGTAGCTTGAGCTTCAGCCCCTCCCTGTGGGCCTCTGGATCCTTGACAAAGAGTCTCTAAGTGCAAGCAGCTCCCATCATCCCTGCTCTGACTTTAGTCATTGGAGACTCAGGGGCAGAAGGAGATGGGGTGGGAAGCTGTGTCCTCAGGCCAAGCCCTCTGGGGTCGGGAGGAAGCTCAGGGCAATACAAACCAAAGAAGAACATTTAAAAAGATGATTACCTCTATCAAAGAAATGTACTCAACTCAGATCCCGCCAGAAAAAATGTGGCATTGAGAGAGGGCTCTGTTTTGGGCTAGCAAACTTCACTAGACGGCGGAGCTAGATTATGGAATGTTGGCTGCCAAATATTGGAAATTGAACTTGGAACGCTCACATGAAGGCACCACCCACTTGAGGTCTGAGCAGGAGATGCTATTACCTCAGCAGACAAAAAGTGATTCCAGGGATGACACACATGATTAACTCCAAGACTACACGGAACCTTCTTCACTCAAAGGGTAAAAAAGCAATATGGCGTTGTTGGAAAAATCGTGCAGCGTTGAAAAGGGGAGCATTAACTGGTAGACCTACTGCAAGTGTGGTACTCGGCGAATGTTAACAGAGTAAACCAAAAACAAAGGACCCAAGTACAAAACATGGGCTTATGTGTCGGAGAGAACAATATGGAAGCTGTGGCACGTGGAAAGGCATGAAAAAGGGGGGATCCTGGTGAGGAACATAGGAAAACCGAACATAGAGTTGGGAAAAGACAAAACTTGCAGGTTGACCGTAGATCGGGGTAAACAGCAAGGGTGGTGGGGGAGAACGGTCAGAAGAGGGCAGGGCCTGCAGGGCACAAGGGAGAGTGGTGAGGGATCACAGGAGCAATGGTTCAACTACGGGGACGCCACCTGAGGGGAGAATTATGATGTAGGAAAAAAAAATTAAAAAAAAAAAAACACACAAAAAACGACCTTTGGCTGACATGAAGGATGAGATGGGCATTGGGAGTGAGAGAGGCCACTGGAGATTAGAACACCAACAGCAAAATGAAAGTGCAAATTGGGGCCCTCCCTGGGGTCGCAGCAGGCGAGCTGTAGCCACTTCAGAGGGAGTTGAGTTGATCTCCATATGATCCCCATCCAGGAAGGTGACCCAGGGAGGTGACCCACATGGCGCCGCAGACCTCTCCAGACCCGCCCTCAGCAGTGTACTTTGTCCATCTGCCTGTTCTGCTCCCCACAGTCTCTGGTGAATCCTCTCACTGTCTCTGCACCTCTGGCCTGTACCCCAGTTCTGTGTGCATAAATAAATAAATCTTAAAAAAAAAAGAGAAAATGCAAATTGGAGGTAGCAAAGGACAGAAGGAATAGTGCAGGAAAAGGCATTCATAAGACACCTTTGGAAAATGACCAGAAAGCTGAAGGCAAAGATGAAGAGATGAAGAAAGGAAGAAAGAAGAAAATGATAGAGAAGGTGAAAGTGAACATCTGAGGAGTTAGAAGTTTTCATAAAGGACCAGGATACATGGGACAAAGAGACCAGAGAGAAAAACCTTAAGTTGAAAACAAACAAACAAAAGAGAAGTGACTCTTTCAGTTGAAAAGGTCCACAATGTTCCCACCATGTGTGCTTAACAGGATTTTTTTTAAAAAATTTGATGGAAAAGGAAAAATTCTAAAAACAGCTATCGGGGAAAAAAACTAGGCCCCTTACAAAGGAGTGAAAGTATATGCCTGCATTTGATAAAATTCAGAGACATCAAGGCACCATCTTATATGTTCAGGGGGGAAAAGAACACACCCAGCTATGCAAGAGAAAGACATTTTACATAAGCAAATGTTTTTAAAAATCCCACCTACATGCTTATCTTTTAAAAAATTAAATGGTACAGCTGCCATGGAAAAACAGTATGGTGATTCCTCAAAAAATTAAAAATAGAATTACCATATGATTCAACATTTCTACTTCTGGGTATGGAGCCAAACAGAATTGAAAGCAGGATTTTGAAGAGATCTGTACACTTGTATCACAGCAGCACTATTTAGAACAGCCGAGAGACGGGAGCAATCCAAGTGTCACTGAATGGACAAACAAAATGTGTCCCAAACACACAATGGAATAGTATTCAGCCTTAAAAAGCAAGGACATTCTGGCACGTGCTACCACGGGAATGGATCACAAGGACACTATACTAAGGGGAACATGCCGGTCACAGAAAGACAACTGCAACGGGGCTTCACTTAGATAAGTAGCTAAGGCGTCAAATTTGGACACAGAATGTCGAATGTTGATTGGCATGGGCTGGGGGCAGAGGGAAAGAGGACTCATTTTAATGGGTTACAGTTTCAGTTTTGCAGGATGAAGAAGTTTTGGAAGGTGGTTACATAAGGAGACTGTATTTATCATGACTGGACACGCAGAAATGGTTGGGATGGTAAATTTCAAGTTACGTGCTTTTTAACCACAATTGAGAGTAAATAAAAATTAAAAACTTGCTCAACTGTATGTCCCGGTCAACAAAACGTATTGCTCAACTCTGAAGAAATCACACTGCAAAAGGACCAAAATTGAAAACTGGAACCAGGAGGCCCCAGGAGGCCAAATCAAAATAAGTAATTACAGTTTTGGCTACACAATTCAGTCAGAAGTCAGAAATACTCCCTCCAAGAGAAGACGTTTCATTTTAAAATGTAATCTGGACAAGAATTTCAGAGTAAGGGTGACTTAATAATCCAGGATTAAACTGTGAAGACTGACATATACTGATGGAAGGAGACAAACGACTGTAAAGTCATAAGACAATGGCTTATGACTTTGGTCGTAAAGATTCATGGGTTATTGCTTTTATTTAGGTGTCATAGAGAAATAGAAATTCATGTATGCCTTTAGAAATATTAAAAGTAAACACTAGTAACCAGTAGGTGAACTGAAAAGAGGATACATAAATTAAATGGGTGGGCAAAAATAATTGTGGGCAAATGAAAAGGAAATCAAAGTACTAGGAAAATCAAACTAGTTTTCAAGCAACAGTCATTAAAATACATAAAGCCAAACTACTGAAGTATAAGAAAAAATCGAACAGTGTGGTAAAATGAGACCACTATTATTCTGTGGTCAAATAAATGAATGAAATTAATAACTTACATGATTTAGATAATGCAATTAATAAGACAAAATTGAAACCATTCTCAACGTAAGTGTGAGTCAACTATAAATTTCAAAACATAAATTTTACAGGGTTACATACTTGGACTAAGAGTTAAGAACAACTGGAAAAAATAGCCAATAGCTTGGATGTTTAAAGG